CACTCAAACCACCTTTGGGTAAAAATACAATTAAAAAAAAAAAAAAAACCTGCTTGGGATCAATTTTGTTAAATCTTTAGTTCTTTGTCTTTGTTCCATAGTTATTCTTTTGTTGTCTTTGCTTTTTAGACTTGAGATATAATCGAAGAGTAGCGTGTGCTCGATTTCTACAGATGAAGGGGTGAGTTAAGGACATAGTGGCAGACCTAATTTAGAATTCTCCTACTTTTGTATACTTAAGTCAAATCCTTAACTGAATTCTAACACAGAGTTTGTTATTTACAGATGCCCTCATTAGCCTCTCTCTCGCTGTGGAGACAGATACTTCTTTGCTTCTATTAGTTCTCACCAGATTAAATTACTTGCATCAAGGCACTATTACACTTCCACTGGAGCTAGTGCTGTGTAGCAAAACAACACCAGTAGGGAGTGAATGGTTATCAAGAGAAAGTTTACTTTCAGTGTTAAGAATTAATTTAGCCGAATTGGTGCAGTGAAAGTGGTAAACACAATCCCCTCACTGGTGTTTGTCAGGGTGTGTTATATCACCCTGGATTGCTTTGTCAATAATCTGCCTGGCCTGCAAGCTAAAAATCTAAGATTGCTCGGATGACTGACAGGCTGGAGATAGCTGATAATTCTAAGGAACTGGAGGTGTAAAATCTTCAAGGACCATGTCTACAGTATAAATGCCAGGGTATCTCCACATCACTCTGTACTTACAAAGGCAACAGCATTGTTAATGGCAGCCTGTCTGTCCATCAAGTTTGCTACCGGCGGATTTATCCCTTTTTCACTCCTTATCTTTCTTTGCTGTGTTTATTTCGAAACCAGCTGCAGAATAAATTGCCTCTTGTCTTCACCTCCTACACTGAGTACAATGATATGTTCTGTAAAGCTTAAAATCATGGTGTTTTTCAAGCACTCCTTTTTCAGAACACTGACTTCTAATTTTGTTTGTTTATGAATATGTATTTTTTTTCCTCCTATGGAGGTTTTCAGCAGAACACTAAAAATGACTCTTATTTACTTGATGAGTGCTCAGGCTCCAGATAAAGGTGTATATGTGATATTTCATAGAAAAGAAACAAATAGAATTGAGATAACCATTTTGTTACTGTCGTGAATAATTCATTAGATCTGTTTTAATCAAATCATTAAAATTAGTAAACAGTGGAATAATTTGGAAATATAAAGTATACAAATAGAACTTGATATATAAATAGAGATATATTTCTATGAAACAGTTTTCAGAATTTAATCAAGTGTAAAGTATCCACCCTTGATGCACATCTACCCATTTGCACTTTTCCAACTTAGGACTGAGAGGGAAGAACAGGATTGTGGTTGGGAAGATATAAAGATTGAAATTAGAGTTTACGTAAAATGCCCAACTTCTGCTTTTATCCAAACCTTCCTGTTTTGCTGGTAGCCAATCACTTTGGGAACATCTGATTAATCTTACTAAAGGTGATTATACATATACTTTATGAACAACTTCTCTCCCAAAGATATACAGGTATACCTTATCCAAAAGAAACGTAAAAGAACATGAGCAATCAATCATCAAAACCAAACAATGCCCATAAAAAATGTATGCAAAATACATATACACAAAATATGGCACATGTATAAAGCTTTTTAGTATGGGTAAAATAAAAACAATGTAAGTGTACATTAACACTAGAATGGATAAATTGTGCCATCTCTCTATATATAGATAGATGATAGATATAGATATAGATATATATAGGTATAGATACAGATAGATATAGTTTTTTTTTTTTTAGTCCAACGCAATAGTATGTAGCAATGAAAGTCAAGAAAATACAGCTATGCATAACACATAGCCGAAGCTCAAAAACAATTATGAGCCAAAGAAACGGGGCATACATTCAACGATTCACTCCAAGTTCAAACCTAGTCATAACTAATGAACTAGAAGTGACCACAGGGACATGGGCTGGGCATGAAGCAATCTCAGGAATTCTGATAATATACTGTTTCTTCAGATGGGTGCTGGTTACATGTTGGGTTTGTTTGGTGGGTTAAAACTCATCGAGATGTACACTTATTATGTGTGAACTTTTCTGTGTCTATATTAATAGTTCACAAAGTTTAACATTTAAAAAGTGTCCCTATCTTCAGTCAGCGCTTGCAACTACTTATTAAGTTGTAATTATCAGGCATGTCCCCTATTCTCTCTAAAAGTTCTTTGCAGAGGGACATACAAGTAAGAAAAAAGGGAGAGTGGACTTTGGTCTGAGTAACAAAGAGTTCTCTACTAATCCACTGACATTTAGCCACACACACATACACACTCATCTGTGTATATTTAAGTCAACTTGTAGCCTCCTAAATTGGTAAGTAATGAAGCAAACATCTATCAGTCATTATTTTGCAACATAAAAAATTCTTGAATTCTGTTAATTATTTCACAGGCAATAGGCAGTCATTTTTACTCGGGCTGGTTATTATATGCACCATCAGAAATAACATTCATTCATTTATTCATTCATTCCCCAAATCTTTTTGAGAAATGTTATGCTAGGGCCAAGAATGTGGAAGTAAGATGCAGACTCCTTGCCTTTCCATGGAATGATTTTTTTTAAACAAACCTGTCAGCTGTTTATTACCTATCAGCATTTTAAGTGCTATTTCAGGATGTCCCATCGCTTGACTAAAGAAGATGACCAATGGTTTATTTCCATTTTTAAAGTATGATCATTATGACATAAATTATGTCGCTTGGGCTGCTATAATAAAACTCCACTTGTAGAGGTGGGAAGCCCAAGATTAAGCTGCTTGCTGATTCGGTTTCTGGTGAGAGCCCTGTCCCTGGCTTGAAGATGACCAAATTCTCACTGTAACCTCACACAGCTGAGAAAGATTTGTCTCGTTTCTGGTCTTTTCTTCTAAGAGCACTAATCCCACTATGAGGACCTCACTCTCATGACCTCAACTATACTCATTTACCACAAAGGCCCCATCCCAAAATACTACTATATTGGAGTTAGGGCTTCAACATAAGAATTGGAGGGAGGGATACAGACATTCAGTTCATAAAAGAGGCAATTATTTGGTGACGACATATTTTAAAAGAACTGTCTTTGCCCCTATGAGCTTCTGGCCATTATGTCATTGCCCTCCCTCCCTCCTCGCCTTCTTGTCTTTAACAATGACATTAAAAAATAGGAAGAATGTATTTTCTAATTCTAATTCATTTTATACCTGTGACAGTAATTAAGCGGGCAAATTCATTACTATCATTACCACTAGACTTTTCTCATTACCACTGCTTTGATATAAAGTAAATGAACAATTACAATAGAAATCCATTATCAAAATTGTCTTGTATGTAAAAAATGATTTTATTCTTCAAAATGATATCCTCTCAAACAATCAGATTAACTGGAAGATGTAGTTTCTAGACTTTAAAATTTGAACTTAACTTTTAGTTAATATTTTGAGTGTAAAAACCAAGGTATCATTACAGATCTGTTGTTTTCAAAGTTTTAATAATTATTTTTAACATAAAAATATTTTATGAATATTTACCCTATTTAATCTTGAACAAACATTTTTTTTTCTGGTAGAGTTATTTTTATTTATAATAACACAGAGGTAGATTCACCTATGACTCATTTCAGTTGTGTTAACAATTCTACCTCACCATTAAACCAACCATATTCACTCAATATATTTAATTCCTTAAATAATGTTTCACTGTATTTCATCGATGCCGAACTGAAAAACAAGTCTGGGACGTTTGGATTACATAGCTTTAAACATCCAACTGTTGGAAGGTGAAAATTATGATGTGCATCTAGAAATCTGTTGCAGTAAAATCAGAATAGATATGAAGCACACCTTTTAATCACACAAGCTTACTATTTTTTTTTCTGAATGGTTTCAGAATTAATACTATAGCATGTGTGTCTACAGACTGAACACTGAAGATGATTTTTTTCTTCTCTTGGGCTTTGAGCAAGTTGTAGAGTATCATGGGAAAGTGCATCATCATGAAATGACAACAGCAATAATCTCAAAACAGTGGCCCAGGAAGACACAACCAGTAGGATGTAGGTGGCATTCTAAAAAAAAAAATCCCAATTGTTATCTCCAATATTCCTATGAATGCTAGCAGATAATAATGGCTGGTAAGACTTAATAAAGGATATAGAAGAGCATTCCAGGTGAGAGAACCTGATATACATCCATATGGAGATGATAGAGGTGTCCAAAGAACTTTGATTAGACCAGCTGGGCAAACAAACAGACCTAACTTAAAAGAGAGTAAAAGAAAAGGAAGGACAGGTAAGGAGAGAGATAGTTTTAGAATAAATTTGGCCAGAGAGAAACTATTGAAAATATCTCACTCTAAAAGTGACCTAAAAAATGGTACTTTTTAGGTGTTCATCTAAAGACATTCAACAAAGATAATGAACCTTCAGGAGAAGACATGAGCAGAGGAAGACTTTTAAGTAGCTATTGCTATATCTCAGACTAAAGTTGACCTACAGGGCCTGAGCAATGTCCATGTTAGTTGAATAAAAGACCAGAGAAAATTTAAGAACAGCTGACTCAATTGAAGAGTAAATTTTGTTGATTTGTGTCAGGAATAGTTTTTCTAAAAAATACATGTTGTAAGGGGTACCTGGGTGGCTCTGTCGGTTAAGCGGCAGACTTCGGCTCAGGTCATGATCTCACGGTTTGTGGGTTCGAGCCCTGCATCGGGCTCTGTGCTGACAGCTCAGAGCCTGGAGCCTGTTTCAGATTCTGTGTCTCCCTCTCTCTCTGCCCCTCCCCTACTCACACTTTGTCTCCCTCTGTCTCAAAAATAAATAAATAAATAAATAAATAAATAAATAAATAAATAAAACTGTTTTTCACAGTTCCTAGATTAAATCCCAGTGGTATTGCCTGTGCTTACTCATGACACTTCTTTCAGATGGTGAGTTGGACGGGGGCTGGACTCAGCTAGGCTGGCTGGGCTTTACTCTCCTTGAGGGTCTTTCATCTTTAAGACGATTGGACCAGGCTTCTTCACTTTGTGATAATAGCAGCAGTCTAAGAGGGCAAGCTCCCAAGTCCAAGCACTTTTCAAGCTTCCATCTCCAACCCCTATACTAATGTCACACTGTTCAAGTAAGTTGCACTGCCAAAGCTAGAGCCAGTACTAGAAGGGACTACAGAAGAGAATGTTATGTTTTATTGGCAGGCATTACTATACCAAAATACCTCAATGGCCTACTGCAAGGATAAAATAATGCATAGGAAATACTAGCATATGCCTAATAAATAGTAGGTGCTAAATAGATGTTAACTACTATTAAAACCTTAGTAATGGTTTCCATAATTGTGTATTTTTTAACTGTCAATCTTACCAAAGAGCTACTTTACTTTTTCTTTTTTTTTTTTTTTTCAATTTTTTTTTTCAACGTTTATTTATTTTTGGGACAGAGAGAGACAGAGCATGAATGGGGGAGGGGCAGAGAGAGAGGGAGACACAGAATCGGAAACAGGCTCTCTGAGCCATCAGCCCAGAGCCTGACGCGGGGCTCGAACTCACGGACCGGGAGATCGTGACCTGGCTGAAGTCGGACGCCTAACCGACTGTGCCACCCAGGCGCCCCTACTTTTTCTTTATAAAGTTGACCTAACAGTTTTCCTATGGATTACTTCTGTGTTTAAGCCAACACCTGTTTTGACACAAGACTTGGTATTTGGATTCAGCTCCTAAAGTTAATTCCAGTTTTGAAATATATCAATAAAAATTAGATATTTTACTGAAGATTCCTTAGGGCAACAGACAAGACAGTTTACACTATACATCACATCACAGAAACTTAATTAAATTTCCCTTAAAATTTCCTCTTCTCCCCCAAAGTCTTCTTATCTCCTCTCTAATAAGCCTCCAAATCCTTTCCCTTTGCCTCCACACTTCAGCTCCCATCCTCATCAAGTATCCATTACTCAGGTAGACAAAAGTCAGATGGGTAGCCTTAATTAACATCCTATCTTTTTCTTTTCCAGTATGCCTCCAACCATATATCTCTAACCTATTCAAGGAGAATAGGGAAAAATTTCAGACGTTCAAGTCAAATATTATTTAAAATAAAGAAAAACAACTTTAAACAAAAAAAAATATTAAGAATTAGACTAATATAATGCATGGCTGATGCTCAGGATATAGAGACAAACAAGGTAGTTTCACCAAAATTATTAGCTTTCATGTCTAACCCTAAACAAAGCCCTAAGATAAATGGGCCAACACACACATATTCAAAGTGCTTCAGGAACACAAAGTAGGAAGCATTTGGAAATGTCAGCAACATGAGCTCTTACTCTAAAAAGACTCAGCATTGTGTATGGGTAGTGACATGCACAGTACTTTCTTGAAACTCTACTTATAAGAGTGTTTTCTTCAGTGTCTCTCTTTCTCACTCTCTATGTGAACTTGAACTAATTGTCTCTGTTGTATACTAACTGCAGACCCTCCTTTAATCCCTGACACAGAATCAAGCTCACAGTTTCTACTCTCAACACCTGCTATTACCCTTTCCTTCAAATAGGCCATTTATCCTGACAGTAAGTAAACCTTTCTGGGAAGTATTCCTTGTGGAACTGTAGTTTGTCTTTCAGATTATCTGAAAGATCAAATTTCAAGTTCTTCTTTGATACTAAACATAGGTCTTTTCTTTCTATGAAAAAGCTTAGAATGTACCTTTTTATTTCAGGTGGGAAACACCCTGGAGGGATGACAGTAAGCAACATTTAAATTTATATATAGAAAATGCTTTGAAAACCTCTATCTTTTCATATCAAGTCTGATATAAAGGATAATATTGCTCAAGAAATGTTATAAAATGGTCTTTATGTGCTTCTAAGTGAGAAAGACATTGGCTACTGGAATAAATAAAACCTTGGACATTCAAATCCTTGTTTTATTTTATTTTATTTTTTGCTGTTTTTAAGAAAAAAAAATAAAAGAATAGACAAACTTTACCAGCTGAGTAAGTTTTTGTTTCACTTTTTTGTTTGTTTGTTTTGTTTTATGTGAAACACTATGAGTTCTAGGCAAAATAATCACCATCAGTTTGAGGAAGGAGAGATTTTTGTAAAATATATGTAATGGAGTTCCAGATATTAGATGGATTTAAAGTGACACAAAAAGCTATTAACAAAACTGTTTTTTTTGTTGAAGACATTCAATAACTAGATTGTCTATAACAGGATTATCTTGTGAGATAAACCCTACATTTGGACTATGGTAAAATAGCATGTTTGATAAACTATAGAGGCAAGAGTGTGAGCAGATTGATGTAGAAGGTCAAAATAGAATGTTCTTCTATATTCATAACTGCATATTTGTGTGCTTTCTGTATTACTTAAAATCACCCAATTTGTTTATATACTCACTCTTATTAGCAATTTACTTCAGATTTTACAAGTCTTTAGACTACTTATTTATAAACTGAAAATAATTGTTCCTTCCTCTCTCAGTTTCTCACTAAAAGTTAAATGACATATACTTCTTATCATATTCTGTGAAGTCAGGGATCTCTATGCAGGAGTTTCACACGTAAAAAAAAGAATCAGCAATCAATAAAGGAAAAAAAATGAACAAATATTCTAATTTCCATGAAAAGTTAATATGAAGTTAATGGATTGAACCGTTAAATGTCAGAAACGGTTGTTACTTTACATCATACACAAAAATAAACTAAAAGTGGATTAAAGACTTGAACATAAGACCTGAAGTCATACAACTCCTAAAAGGAAACAGGTGGTAAACTCCTCAATATTGGTCTTGGTGGTGATTTTTTTTTTTAATTTCACACCAAAAGCAAAGGTAGTAAGAGCAAAAATTAAAAATTGGGGCTACCTCAAACTAAAAAGCTTCTGCACAGCAAAGGAAACCATCAAGGAAATGAAAAGAAAACCGACCAAATGGGAAAAATACTTGCAAATTCTGTATGCAATCAGAGGTTAATACCCAAAATATATGAAGAATTCCTACAACTCAATACCAAAAACAATCTGATTAAAAGATGAGCAGATGGTCTGAATACATATTTTTTCAAAGAAGGTATAAAGATGGCCAATAGACCCATGAAAATGTACTCCCTAATCATCAGTAAAATGCTATCAATTCTACTATGAAATATGATCACACACCTGTTAGAATGGATATTATAAAAAAGACAAGAAGAAACAAGTATTGGAGAGGTTGTGGAGAAAAGGAAACCCTTGTACTGTTGGTCGGAAAGTGGTACAGACATTGTGGAAAACAGCACAGAGATTCTTCAAAAAAATTAGAAATAGAACTACTGTATAATCCAGCAGTTTCACTTTTGGGTATTTAACCAAAGGAAACAAAAACACGAAGTCAAAAAGCTGTATGTACCCCTATGCTCATTGCAGCATTCCTTATATTAGCCAAGACACGAAAACAGCCTAAGTGTCCATTGATAGATGAATGGATACAAAAAAAAAGTAGCACACGCACGCGCACACACACACACACACACACACACACACACACACACGAAGAATATTCAGCCACAAAAAATCAACGTGATTTTGCCATTTGTGACATCATGGGTAGACACTGAGGAGGGCACTATGCTAAGTGAAATAAGTCATATAGAGGAAAACAAAACTGTACCATTTCACTTATATGTGGAACCTAAGAATAATCACAACACCACAACACAGCAACTCATAGATACAGAGAACATTTGAGTGGTCGTCAGGGGCAGGTGGTAGGGGTGGACGATGAACAAAATAGGTGAAGCTGTTCCACAGATATAAACTGCAGGTCATAAAATAAATATAACATACAGCCTGGTAACTAGAACTAATAATAATGTATTATATATTTGAAAGTTGCTAAGAGTACACCATAAAAGTTCTCATCACAAGAAAAAGTTGCAACTGTATGGTAATGGTATTTTGACTTATTATGTTGATCATTTGATACATGTATCATCGCTACATTATACACTTAAAACTGATATGTTATATGTCAATTATATATGAAAAAAAAAAAGAATTGAACTTGGTTGAAAGATGTATACTACTAGATGTAAACCCAATTATAAGGCTATAGTATTCAAAACAAAGTGATATATATGTACAACAGAAGACAGAAGTGAAATAGAACAAAGTATCTAGATTTAGATCCACACACATATACAGTAATCTAAGTTAAAGCCAAATTACTATTGCCATGAAAAAGTCTGCAAGATAAATGAGGCTTAATCAAAATTTCCATTTAGGAAAAAAAAACATAAAAATTAAATTCTACCCCACATGATACATAAAAAATCAAGTGAGATGGATCATAGACTTAAATGTGAAAGGTCAAACCATAAAATTTTTGGGAGATAACATACAAAAACATCTTCATGACCTTGGAGTATGCGAAGGTTTTTCTTATAAAGGACACTAACAGTGAAAAGCACTAACCCTAAAGGAAAAGTTTAGTAAGTTGAACTGCATTAAAATTAAAATCTCATTGCCATTAAAAAAAAAATAGAAAATGCAAATGTAAGGAATAGAGTGGAGAAACTTGTTTGCAATACATAAACATGAGGTAGGACTAGCATCCCAGGAGTAAAGAACACCTCCAATAAGAAAAGACAAATAACCAGAAAGGTAAACAAAAACACTTCACAAAAGAGGACATGCAAGTTGCCAAGATGCATATAAAAATTACTTCTCAAAGAGGTGCAAATTAACACCTGTGACCTATTACTACATACCCATAAAAATGACTAACAGGCTAAAATGACAATAGCAAGAACGTAGAGAATGCCCATAAAACGCTGGGAGAAGCTTAAATTGGCCAAAAGATTTTAAGAAAACTTATTTATAGTACCCACTAAATCATTAACTATGATCCATTATTTAAAAAATGTGTAATATATGATGTATACCAAACAGTTGCAAAAACAGTGCCATTAAATTAAACACTTTAACGATATTGATTAGGTTTTAGAATTTAGTGAACACCAAATTGCAAAAATGGTAAAAAAAACAAAAAAAAGAGAGAGGAAAATATAATAACAATTAAAAATAATCTACAATATCTGTTAACATCTTAAAATACTTCCTTTAATTTTTTTTTTTTCTAATTGGGGAAATACTTCATTATAATGTGGATTTCAATCGTTGGGATCATACTGTCACTTTATACACAGTAACGAATCTGGCTTTCATCATGTTTATACTTTCTAAGAGTATTTTATATGATTGTTATTTTCTTATTTTGGATATTTATAAAACTTAACCCATTTCAAAATATGAATACAAAATGAGTGGAATCGCTACAGTAAAGAGTAGAAACTTTTTTTTTTTTTTAAGTAGACTCTACCCCAGGGTGGAGCCCAATGTAGGGCTTAAACTCAGTACCCTGAAATCAAGACCTGAGCTAAGCTCGAGTCCAACACTCAACTGACTGAGCCACCCAGGCACCTCAAGAGTGAAAACATTTTAAGGCTCTGAGACATTTTACAAAATTACACTTCATTGGTTTGACACTGATTTTTATGCTACCCAGCAATGTATGATAGCATGTTCTCAGAACTTTAACTATAAAAAATACCAAATTGCCAGTTATATATTTTTATTTACATTATTTTTTATGAGAAATGAGGCTGTGCTTTTGCCACCCTTTATAGCTTCTTTTCACCTTTTGAGAATGTTCAATGTTCAATTTACTCATTGGTGGTTACTACTGTTTTCTAAGTGACTGGTGAGAGTCCTTTACTAATTATAGATATTCATTTTTCCCATGATATTTCATGTAAGTTTTGTTTCTCAATTTGCTCATCTTTTTACCCTTTTGAATGTAACATCATTGTCGTGGCTTCTTACTGCGTCACCTTAGTTGGGCTGGAAATGGCATTTAAAGCTCCCTGTACCGTATGGCTCTAGAATCGTAAGAGCTACAAAAGAAATTTGCCTGAATTTGGAAGGGGGAGGTGAAGCAGCAGCCACATCTTTTATGCAAAGAAGATTAGTGTAGAATACCATGCCTTGAGGCAGGTCACAACCTTACTCACCTATCTGAAGTCTCACTTTGATGACCTGGGAGCCTTCCTGCGTCTTACTTTCCCAGGACTGCTGAGGGTACAGGTCTATGGTAAAGGGCAGCAGCTGCTTTTCCATACTTCCCCTGCAGTAATTGGAGACAACAAAAGAATGATGTTGGTGCCAGTTCATCCTAGTGAGTCCTTATCCTGGGTATTGTATATACCCAGCTGTCCTTTCTGCGGCTGGTCTGATACCTCATGGCCATTTGCAAACAGCTTCGCTCTCAGTATCAGATGCAGAGAAAGAGCGTTGCAAGGAGGCCTCTTCCCATTTCCATAACTGAGTAATTTCTAGTCCTTATATAAAATCCCTTACTCTGTATCACTTATGTTGGTCGGCTTCTTTAATAAAGAAGAGTCCTAAAGAGTAGCGACCAGCCACATGTGGCTGTTGAGCAACTTGAAACGTAATTAGTTGGAATTGAGACGTTCTCTATAAAATACACACAAGATTTCAAAGGTAGTAAGAAAAAAATTATAAAAATATTTTAGTAATAATTCTTACCTTGACTACATGTTGAAATGATAACATTTAGATATTTTGATTTAAAATAAAATTAAATTAAAATTAAAATTATTAAATAAAATAAAATAAAATTAATTTTAAAAAATATTTTTAATATACCTAGTAAATATGTTAACAGTGCAGAAGTAGCTTGCATTTGTGGTTCCCTTTATATTTCTATTGGACAGTAATATTCCAGAGGAACAGAACCTTAGGAATAAGTTTTCAGAATTGACTCTAAGATATCTGGAATGGGCCTCATACCTAATAAGACTAAAGACATCGATGTTTCTATTTTTTTTGGTGAAGGGAATACACATAGTCCAAGGAAAGCACAGGTAAATCAGATATTTAATTATTACCTGTAAACATCTGTAGTAAAGGATGTACAGAAGACAAAGCATGGTGAAACTAAGTTGTTAATGATATAGAAGATTATAGTGAAAATAAGGAACATGCTTTATTAAGATGAGTGCTTTCTTCAAAGTGCATTAAAGAATCTAGGAAAAGAAAGGTTCATGCAGGGTTAGAAATTACCAGCCTAAGATCTGGATAAGGGACCAAATGCTTCCATGGCTGCCCCAAAGAAACATCTCCTCTGTAGTGACAGGGCCAAAGCTTCTATAAAACTAACCAAAAGTCTATTTCTGAAGATGGTTGTATTACAATGAAAATTAAATTAAAAAGTTTGGGTTGTGTAATATTAAAGTTAGAGCAGTTATTGAGAAGAAATTAAACCCTGAAAACGGAATTGGCACACCTATGCTTACTTCAGTGTAACTGGAGACATCAAACGCCTAAATTCTGCTGAGCTTCATTTGTCAGTAGAAGAAACCTTTCCTCTCCTGACTGAAGTGATTCTCTCCTTGGATGAAGAATCTTATAAAGATTTGTATTGAATGTATTGTCTTAGGTAGTTGGCCATGACCAGAGAAGTTTGGTTTATTGACCGAAACCTAGAACCAAATATGGCCTATACCAAATGAACTTGAAATACCAGGACACCTTTGGTACAATGTAAGAGAACATATAGGGATACTGGAAATGCTATATTAGGAACACCTACCTTGTCACCAATCACCATGACACAGCACACCATGTCCACCCAGAGGGCCCGGGAGACACTCTACACCAAGATGATGAGAAAAGCACTGCAGGGGGAGCAAGAGCATCTTGAAGAGCTCAGTACTGGCTACACACTATAGACCTGGACTTACTGTAGGAATTGCTATCATCAAACTGACCTCCCCAAATACAATGAAGATGATTACATGGCAGGTATGAAGGACAGTATTTAGTCACCAAAGACAAGGCAAGTAGAGTCACTATACTAAAAAGCGGATCCATGGCATAATAAGGGGAGACCTTTGGTGTTGTCTAGTTGATCATAGTAGAAACTGAATGTGTTGCCATTGCTAATCTCAAGTCATCGAGTGATTTTTGCTTCACAGACAGCAGCTCACCATTATGAATTAGACACTCATCTAATGCATTCTGTAAACTCCAGGACATAAACATCAAGTTCTGTAAGGGTACCAATTAATGCCCCCTTTCCTACATTTAAAGTAAAAGAAAATTACCCTGTAGGAAGGAGGTAGGAAAATGAACATGTGTATAGTGAGGAGTAAGGGGAGAAATAGATAGAAATAAAAATACCCACAGCTTTCTAAATAATCTCCTTCTAATAGTCCCCTTCTTACCCATGTTATATCCTCAATTTGGAAGACTAAATACCTAGTGAATGTTCATTAAGATCCTTCTTCAGGAAGGGAGGGGCCAAGATTGTGGGGCAGCATGGAAGTTTTTGTTATTGTTGCTGTTGGTTGTTTTGCCTCTCTCATCCTTGAAATGCAGCTAGATCAACACAAAACCATCGTGAATACCTAGAAAACTTATTTGAGGATTAAGACAGCAATCTGCACATCTAGAACCACAGAACTCAGCAGGTCACAGAGAGGAGAACCGGGGGAGAAAGAAGCCGTGGAGAGTAGGGAGCTGATTTTTCTTGTGGAGAGAGGATGAGTACAGGAAAAGCACTCCTCCTCCCCTCTCCCCACCATGAAAGCAGCTGGAGAGAAAGAGACAGAGTGGAAACAGCTGCAAGGACTGAACAAAAAAGGGAGAAAGGAGAAAGGCCAGGGTTTAAATTCCATTAAGACTCTATAAACAGGGGAGCACAGAGGCTGAAACTCCGTAGCTCAATACCTGGAGAGCTCTGGTGGGAAGGGGGAATCCCCAGGAGCAGAGCAGAATGTCCGAGAGGTCCTCAGGCCACATGGAAAGAGGTGGTTCCCCTGCTGGGAGGACATTTGGTAGAGGCTGTGTGGCCTCTACCACAAAGGTCCCAGTGGACCCCAGAAAACAGCCACATTTGCTGGTGGAAGTACAAGGATTTTTAGGATGAAGGCTGGTGCCGGATGTGTGTTTTGATTTACCACAAACCATGAAACGCTGCTGCTAAACGATCATGTGAACTTTTTCTGGGACAGACTGGCACCCGGCTGCAGTCTCTGGGCATCTGCATCAGCACGATCTTATGAATGTTCTTGGGGGAAGGCCAGCACAAGACATTGCTTGGCAAGACCCTCTCCCAGGGGGTCTGAGTGGGTCAAAGCTGTAGGGCCCTCAGAAATGAGGGGTTTGGAAACACAGCCCCATCTAAGATAAAACTTGGGAGGGAGGTGCCACCTGGTAGACTGATAGCTTGGTCAGGAACAGGATAGAAGCGGGGAGTGGACAGAAGCCAGAGGTAAAGGAGGGGTGCTTGCTTTCTGGTCCCAGAGAGCACAGAGTTCTGATACTAGAGACTGGGTAGCTGGGTGACACCATTTTTACCCCTCCCGCACATGCGCATACAACCTACACTCGCGCCACAACTATCCATCCCAGCTCCATCTAGTGGAGAATGCAGTTGTTATACCAAGCCTCCTCACCCCCCCCAAATGGGCTAACTGCTCTAAAGCAACACTGCAAGTCTCTTTGCCTGATTTGTTTGTGGACTATAAAGTGCTTCATAGTTTGACTTCTAGGGGAAACCGTATGTAATTCCAATCATATTTCATTCTGTTTGCTGGTCCATCTATTCTTTTCTTTTTCTTTTTTTTTCTTATTCTTGAATACAGGAAGAGAAAAAAATATTTTTATTTTCTTTTTATAAAAAAAGACTTTTTTCTACCATATTTTTACTTTCTTGTAAATTTTTAAAATTCTACCTTACTTTGATCATTTCACTTTATTGTATTTTATTGTATTCATTTTTTTAAGTTTTCAAATGTTTTCCTTTTTTTTCTTTTTCTTTTTGTTTTTTCTTCCCCCCTTTTCTCTATTCTATCAAGCTTCTTTCAACAACCAGACCAAACACACCGGGAACCTAGCATCCTTTATTTGAATTTTTTATGTTGTTTTTAATTTTTTAATTTTAATTTAATTTAATTTAATTTAATTTAATTTAATTTAATTTTATTTTATTTTATTAATTATTTTTCTTCCTTCAAAATGTTGAAAAGAAGGAATACACCCCGAAAAAAAGAAAAGGAAGAAATGACAGACAGGAACTGTATATGTATCAACATAGATACAAGGCAAGATGTCTGAACCAGAATTGAGAATTGTGATAATAAGACTACTTGACTGGCGTTGAAAAAAGCATAGAATTCCTTTCTGTGGATATGAAAGAAATAAAATCTAGTTGGGATAAAATTAAAAATGCTATAACTGAAATGCAATCTCTAATGAATGCCACGGTAGCAAGGACGGATGAAGCATAACAGCAAATCAGTGATATAAAGGGCAAACTTATGGAGAATAATGAAGCAGAAAATAAAGAGGGAAACTAAGGCAAAAGAGAATGATGTAAGAATTAGAGAACTCAGTGACTCATTAAAAAGAAGTTAACAGGGGCGCCTGGGTGGCGCAGTTGGTTAAGCGTCCGACTTCAGCCAGGTCATGATCTCGCAGTCCGTGAGTTCGAGCCCCGCGTCGGGCTCTGGGCTGATGGCTCAGAGCCTGGAGCCTGTTTCCGATTCTGTGTCTCCCTCTCTCTCTGACCCTCCCCCGTTCATGCTCTGTCTCTCTCTGTCCCAAAAATAAATAAACGTTGGAAAAAAAAAAATTAAAAAAAATAAAAAAAAAATAAAAAGAAGTTAACATCTGAATCATACGGGTCCCAGAAGATGAAAAGAGAGAAAAAAGGGGTAGAAGGTTAATGTGAGCAAATCATAGTGGAAGTCTTTCCTAATCTGGGGAAAGACAGAGACATCAATATCCAGGAAGCACAGAGAACTCCCATTAGATTCAACAAAAAACAACAATCATCAAGGCATATCATAGTCAAATTCACAAAATACTCAGGCAAGAAAAGAATTATGAAAGCAGCAAGGGAAAAAAAAGTCCTTAACCTATAAGGGAAGACATTTCAGGTTTGCAGCAGATCTATCCAGAGAAACTTGGCAGGCCAGAATGGAGTGGCAGGATGCTCAATGTGCTGAATCGGAAAAATACGCAGCCAAGACTATCCAGCAAGACTGTCATTTAAAACAGAAGGAGAGATGAAAGGTTTCCCAGACAAACAA